AACGTCGAAAAAAAAATAATGGTCGGGTGAAAAATAGAGAAGGAGTGCAGAAAGAAGAAGGCGGCAAAACGTTTGTTTATGACAAACGTAACAGGGCTATTACTTGCGCGTTTTCTCGTGATCTTCACGTAACGTTGTGTTCTTAGCGGAGCTCCACGTGCGACGCTTTGCGGTATTGGGTTTTTTTTGGTGCGACTTTGCAGTAATTTTTTTTTTCAAAGTACGATATTGCGGTTTTCAGAGTCCAAGTATGCGGTATTTTAAATTTTATGACGCGGTAATCGGTGAAAAAATTGTTGTGACGCGGTGATCTGCTTCGTTTCTTTGAAGCATGACAACTATACAAATCTATGGGTTCCTGACAAATCCTAAAAGGAGTCCTAAAAGGTCTGCCTAGGGCCCCTAGCCTGCGTGTCTCCCTAGTTGCACAGTCGGGGACCGTCATGATTGTGCAAAGAGAGTCCGGACAATGCCCTCATAGACATGGTGGAGATTGTATTTTCGCGAGAAAAAGTGCCCTAAATTGTGTCTTGGCTAACGTTCTTACCGACCTTACCGTCTCTTTCGTGCCAGTCGCGAAACAATGGCGAGCGATCCAGATGGTGAACAGAGTGACTAGTCAGATAATCCAGTAAATAGTGAGGTCGTTATAAATTGCGTAGCAATTTTCTACCAAAAAGGAAAAGGGGGCGAAAATTACAGAAAATAAAAAGTTCCGTTGTTTGGTAAATCGAGGGGAGAAGAGCCTGGGGAAATTCAGGGAAACCGTTTGGTAAGTACTATTTTATTGTACTTACTCCTAACCTACCTCAACAGTACATCGATTATCGACATTTTCCTGTCCTACAGTCTACTTGAAAAACTGGACTGACAGTTATCGGACCTTATCGTATATGAGTTTCACTGAAAACGTTTGATAAACAAAGACGAGTGCGATGGTCGTACATGTATGTTTATCGTATGCTTAACATCGACGCACCTTAATTTGGAAATACTATTCAAAAGGCGGATTTTAGTCTTGAGAACGGCAACTTCTTCCCATTTGCAACTGCGGTTTCGGTATTTGGGTAAATTGTGATGCGGTATTGCGGTTTTCTCTCTCTACCACGTGCGGTATTGCGGTATTCGTACCCCCCTTACGCCCCCCTCTTTTTACGAAAAGATCTTCTGAATTGAAGTTTGGCGGAATTTTTTTCAAACATTACTGATTGTCACTCTTGTCACAGAAGGTTTGCTGTTTCCTTTCCTCTGCTGTCCTATTGCTTATCAAAGTTCACTTTTTTAAAGAACAAGTCATTGGCCTTCGCGTTTTGCGGAAAGATCACGATCTGTTTTTGCCTTTTTTACATACCATGAGCGCGACAGATGACACATGAAATATGAGCGCGTTTTTATGTTGTTGTTTGCTTGTTTGTTTTTCTTTTATGTCCTAAGTAGTTATAAAAGAGCCTGTGGGCAGCATAAAGCTTGTCTGGGATTGAAAGTGACTCGGCACTACCAGGCAAAGAAAAAAAAAACAATTTCATTTAGCAAGATATGAGGTGAAGCAAGTGCACATCTTGTAAAACAACCGGAGTTTAAAAATGCGAAGACACCCAATGACACTCAATCCGATATTGGAAAACCATCTGACCGTCACATAACGTTTCACGTAATGTGTCTGTCCATCTTCGTTGTTGTTTTAAATCGTCTTTTGTAGCCAGAAGCATATATATGCGACTGTTGTAGCTTAATAGCGGAGCTCTCGCGCGCGAAGCGCGCTAGCGGAGCACCCTATGGGTAAGAAAAAAAAGTAATCTACCCATCCGAGGAAATTTGGTAATCACGTGACTGTACACCGACCAAGCGACAGTCCGTCCTCACCACAGGCATACCAATGTAAAATAACTCAATCAACAGGTATGGCAACCCAAATGCAACTCGAGGTTATTGTGGTGGGAACCGGCGTCTTGTAAAGCAGACACAACTAAAGAGTCAATAAAGACGAAAACGGAGAGCGCAAATTCTTTCTGTATCCGTGTAGTCTAAGGTATTTAGTTTAGACTAATTGTCATGTCCACAAATTTGGAATATAGAGCAGGAGAAAGACAGAGAAAAAGAGAAAGTAGGCGGCAGGCCAGCAAAGCTTAACGAGACAAAGGGCGACAGAGGTCTCGAGTGAGGAGACGTTTTTTTTGTTGGAAGAACAACATGAAAATCTTGTAGCGGCGGTGACAAAATGGGAAATCCTAGCGGCCACCAATGCAAGGTGAAAAAAACCGGCAGTGAAAATACAGTGAACGAGAACACGTACGACATTCCCGACATAAAACGTGTAACTAAGAAGTTTCTGGAAGTTTCATGATGAAGTCGTGCAAAACAACGGCAAAGAAATGTACAAAAAAAGTGTGCTGCACGTGCAAACTTGCTTTTTTTGCTGATTAGACCTATTGCTGTTTTTCACCATTCTCCGGCGTTGCCTTCGCCGCTTAGCACTAGACGATTTTATGTTTTTGTGACCAAACTATAAATATTATTGAGAGCTTCGCTTTTAGTCCTGGCTAAAACTATATATATTAATTTTACACTTTTTTTAAAACTCTGGGACCACTTTATTTGGCTTATAATTACCACTGTTGTGGTATCCCTATTTACATAGGCTAGTGTAACCTCTCTGATCATAAGGCCTCCTCTGCCTCCACTTTGAGTGACCAACAAAGATTTTCTCCTAACATCATCACAACATCATAAAATGAAAAGGTTATGAGAATTGTTAAAAAGATCACAATCGAGTAAATGCTTTGATCACGAAACAAATTATTCTCGAATAATCCTTTCAGAAAATGTATAAACTAGGACAGTCTGGACAATTTGTTTGTTAATATTGGGGTTTAAAGGGGATAAGCAACATTCCTCCCCCACAAGTAAGACCTTTAAAATTATTGTCACAGAGCGATTTGTTGCACAACAGCAAATATCTTTACTGTTCAATTTACAACACCATGAACTGCACCTAAAAATGTTCAGCAACATGTGTTGGAACCAATGATTACAATTCCTGTGAACTAGTCAAAACACCACAAACTAATCACCGTTGTTGATTGTACTTTATTTTTCCCACACTGCACCTGATTGGTTTATTAGTGGTGACACAATAACATTCCAGCAATGTTTTAAAAACAGCCTTTTAATGATTTATTATTCCTTGCCTGTAGAGGTAATCAACTGACAATAAAAACAACTTTGTAAAATTCAAACCATGTATCATTTAAAAATTGATTTGCTTAAGTTTCTCAGAAATACTGCTCATGCAATAGAATAATTACTAAAGGCTTGCTGCTCCAGTCTTACATAATAGCATAGCATCATTCCAACCCAGGCCGTTACACATACACACACACCCTCCCCATCCCAACCACTCAAATATGCCTGAAGAAAATTAACAAGCAATGGTAACAGAAAGTACGTCAGGTACCATTGTGTAAACACCATTCCCTGTACTAACACCAAATGTGGAGCCTTGAAGATACAACCAACCTCTTAGTCTGGGCCCAGACTCCGCATTGGGAGAAAAGGAGAAAAAAATCGGTGTTGGCAAAAAAAAAAAAAAAAAAAATCGGCGAGTGAAGCCAGCCAAGTGGTAGTCCTCCCCACCACTAAGCTTGCTTCGCTCACTGCTATTTTTCCTATTTCACCCCTTTTTTCTGCCTTTTTCCCCCACTACGGAGCCTGCATGGTCCCAGGCTACCAACATCTATATACTTTACAAAGTTCTCTGAAGTTATGAACACAATGAATGACACTTTTACCAATCTATTTTAATTTACTACGCACCTGCTAGATAAAGGTGCTAAGAGAAATCAAATGATGTAACATTAATGCCAGTGATAAAAAATGAAAAGCTGAAATTGACCTTTTTCATATTTGGGTATTTTTTCTTTTCTGAGTTCAAATTAGGACCAAAAAAGGGAATGTTATCTACACTATGTCTTTTTTTTAATGGAACTGAATTAGTTGAACGATTGTCTGTAGATGCGAATTTTCATCCTCAGCCTAATTCAATGTCAGGTTACAATGTGATTCCAATATTTTAAACATCACTTTTTTATCATTTGTGCCATTGAATCGTAAATAACTTTCATTTATATAAATATCGTAATCACAACAATATTAGTACTTTTACAGTGTAATTGTATTTGAAATATTAACATCATAATTAACAATTAATGAATAAGGCAGCATGAGTATCTTTAAGTTATGAAGAATTTTGGAGATCGAGGAGGGTGTTATCCGTCGAGGGCGTAGGCTGAGGCCAATAACACCCTCCGAGATCTCCATAATTCTTCATATGATACGAAAGCAAAATTCAATAATTGTTTTATTATTCATTCAAAATAATGGTTAAACATGCTTACATCCATCGATGATAAGTTCACCTTCGATAGTGCACGTTTAGGGTTGTTCAGCTCCGCAAATATTTTCCAAATAGTAGATGTCGCCCTTCGAGTTGTCTTCTTGCTGTTCTTGCAATGTTTTTAGCTCTTTTTTTGCCTAGTTCTTACTCTTGAAACGAGTGAAATGTTCACCATTTTTCAAGGTCACGACCAAAACAACTCAACCTCGTCCCCAGGTCTTCTCGGATAACGGTGCATTAACCTGTAGAAGGCTGCATTTTTGACATCATTTCCTCGTTAAACACAAAATTCTTCCAAATTTGGTCATCAGTAACTGGTTATGGTGAATTATGCGTGTGCTTTTAGCCAATCAGAATTGGGGAAATATTTTGACTGACGAATCTAGACTGACTGACGAATCTGACTGACGAATCTAGACACAAACTACAGTCTACTGAGAACTTTATTGACGCCATTAAGACAATACAGATACCGGACGACCACAAACTAGTGTCCTTTGACGTGAAATCGCTGTTCACCAGTATTCCACTTCAACTGGCTCTAGACTGTACTGAGAACGCTATTAAGAACTCTACTGTTGAACTACCACTACCTACAGACGACATTATGGACCTACTCAACCTCTGTTTGACTTCGACGTACTTTCAGTACAACGGCAAACACTACAAACAGTTACACGGTACAGCTATGGGCCCTCCAGTTTCTGTTGTTGTAGCAGAAATTGTCATGCAAAACATCGAGGAACAAGCCCTAGCTACCTACACGCGAACTGTACCTCTTTGGTTACGTTACGTTGACGACACATTCACCGCCGTACACAAAGACGGAATTGACGATTTTCACGAACACCTTAACAGACAGAACGCGGACATACAGTTCACCAAGGAGATCGAAGAAAATGGTAAGATACCCTTTCTAGACTGCTTGGTCATTCGCGACAACAACAAACTAAAAACGACTATTTACAGAAAACCGACACATACCGACCGATTACTAGACCAGTCTTCGTACAACCCGACCTCTCACAAGGCTACTACTATCCGGACTCTGACGAGACGAGCGCAACTAGTTTGCGACTCACCTGACAGCCTACAAGACGAGACTGATTATCTTAACAACGTTTTTAGTAAGAACAATTACAACACGGACTTTGTTAGACGGAACACTCACAGTAACACTGATTCCAACTCTCAGACCAACTCTGGCCCTGTTACGACAGCGACTATACCGTACATCAGAGGCACCTCTGAAACTATTGCACGAATATTACAACCTTACAATATACGTGTTGCGCACAAACCGATAACCACTTTACGGCGACTGCTTACTAATGTCAAGGACAAAGACAAACCGGAGGACAGACAGGGAGCAGTATACAAGATCAAATGCTGCGACTGCCAGGCTTCTTACATTGGTGAAACCGGCAGAAACCTAAGCACGCGACTGACCGAACACAAACGCGCGACGAGGAATGGTGACGTCAACAATCACATTGCTGAGCACCATTTAAAGACGAAACATCAAATTGACTGGGACTCTGCGACATGTATAACGTATTCTACAGACTACTATCAACGTCTTACTTTAGAAAGCTGGTTTACTAACTTAGAACAAACGCCACTGAATCGTAGCCAACAGTTACCAGCGCCGTACAAACGACTTATTGACGAGATCAAGCAAAACTAACTACGAGAGAACAACTGGAGAACTGACAATTTGACTAACAATAGACGACTCTTTAACTGTGACAATAGACGGATCGAAACGCACCAATCACTGATTACGAGTCTTCATAGCCAACAATATCACGGCTTAACCGAGAGACGACCAATAACATCGCGACATAATTGACCAATCAGATCAATAACAAGAGTATAATACCATCAACTGACGTGATACAACTCACTTTGACTCTGAAGATGACTACCGCACAGGTTGTCGAAACGTCAGTCACTGTCAACAACAACAGTCCTATTCAGGACTACGTTCACCCGGACGATCAAACTCAACCTTTTGAATAATACATGTAGTTAAAAAATGGTTAACCTCAAGTGAATCAACTAACCATACAGAGGGTGCTGTGAGTCACATCACTGAACCAGCTCCAAAGAATCCTTAACAGTTAAGGCTGCAGCATCAGGTGATGGCTTGTTAGCCATCCATGACAAGTATGCATTCCAAAATATTGCTACAATTTGGACAAAGCCAACACGGTGCTGAATAGGAACAAATGTAAAATTCAGAGTCTGTGCAAGAGGCCAGATCTTATAATTTGTGATCAGTGTTTGTACGTAGCGTTCCTGGAGCATCTCTTTAATTTCATGTGGTCGTTTTCCAGCAAGTGTCTCTGACACACTGAAAAAGAAGCAAATCATAACAGGAGCAAAGAGACTCTGATCAAGCAGCATCTTTTTAAAGCCGGCAGTTTTGGCAGCCCCAGGGACAATCCTTTCCAGTGTAAGATACCATGATCTTAGCACAGGGCCAATAACTAGTCCAACCACTCCCATACGAGCTGTTCTTCTGAAGTCATGATTTGTGCCTTTTCGCTCAGGAAATTGCTGGGTGATGACATCTCCAGTGGCGACAAGGACACCTAAGGCAAAAACAAGAAGTAATGAAGAGTTATACTGTCTTTCCACCCCAGGGCATAGGCGTACGGGCCGGGGGGGCGAGGGGGGCTGCAGCCCCCCCAAATTTTGGGCAACTCAGATTTTTTGGGCAGCGAGAGAAAATTTGGGCAAAGCCAGTTTTTAAAGACGTCTCCATTTTATTTAATTATTTTAAAGACCTGAATATTAACCTGAAGTCGGCGTAATAATCCAGTTACATTACAGTGGTTGCTTAGCATGTGATGAGTAATTTACATATTTGCAGTTTTTTTTGGTTGGGCACTATACTGCACTGCACTAGCTGGAATGGGCTATTTCAAGTCGAGAATTGATTAAAATAAACTTTCGCATAACTTTCTAGAATCATCTCCACTCGACGAACAGTGTATGGCAGATAGCATTTAGCAATGGGTATTGCCTGCATAGCAAGCGTTTCCGCGCGAGTTCGACTGGAAACGCTTGCTACGTAGGCTACAATGGGTATGAAAATTAAGAAGTGGCTGACTAATTCTCAGTTTGAATTACGAGAAGAATCTTAATTCGTTTAAAAAATCTATCGAGTGGTTTAAAATAATTCGCTTATTTGTTAAAGTAGACCGAAATGTTTACAAAACTGCTAACAAGAATGTCTCGGTACATACTAATCAAATCCTTCTTTCGATTCTAGCAATCAAGCAGAGCCATTTCCACGATCTTTCACACATGTTTTTAAAAAGACTAAAACTACTATGAGGTGAAATTGCAGGTCAAAAGCGCTTCGTTCTCTACAGATAACGGCCAAAAATGAAGATTTTCCTTTTCCTACCGAATTTCTAAGAATAAAAACTTCATTGCAAAATATCTCGATAACGCTCTTAAGGTTTTGCTTAAACTTCACGAACATCCAGGCGACCGTAAGCTTGTAAGGTTCCCGTCCCGAGAATCAATGCTGAAGTAAAATAGGTAATAGAGTCATTTCATTGCTATGACAACTCCGATGTCATTGCGACCCTGATGGTCGCAGTTTTTCCAAATGTTTGTTTATGGCGACGTAGTTTATGCTCAGACTTGGTATTGACCATTAAAAACTGTGTCGAGCCACCTTCATATGCCAGGACGGCCTATGTTGTTGCAATATGGCCCTCATTTCTTTTCGACTCTTTCGTAAAAATTTGGGCAACTTGTGAGGTGTTTTTGGGCAAATGGTTTACCGCCCCCCCTGGCAAAAAATTTCCCGTACGCCTATGCCCCAGGGGAAAGCACTCCCTTATTTGGCCTTAATGGGTAACAGCACTGAATATGGTATGGGTTTGGGAGGTTGAGAGTCTTAAAACTGAATACACAATTTTGCTATTAGCCTCTCAAACAGGGTGTTGCCCTGAACAGGCTGTAAAATGTGGGAGATTTCAATCAGTGTACATGTATATGTGTGTGTGAGGGGGGATTCAATAGCCTAAATACGGGTTGGAGAGTCTCTTGTCTAAAATAGAGTAGTGAAACGGACGGTTTTTAAGGCCTTATGGAGGCATACAGGGTATATAAATGAGACAGCAAGTGGGATTGGCAGCAACAGCTTAATCAACCCAGCCAATTGGCCACTTCCTCTGTACTTTTATACTTTACATAAACACATTAGATAATCACTCTTTTTCTTTCTTCCTTTTTTCTTTTAATTTGCCCATGGTCTGAATGTAACCTAGGGATGAGTATCAATTCTACCCAGGGACTGCGGGTTGGGAGGGGGGGTATAGGATCACCGATTTGGGGGGAATATGGGGCCTGTCCTCATATCACTGCAGCTCATATCCAAGGGGTGTGAATGAAATCCTTCCCCTTTAACTTCTGTGTATTCTGATTCAACTCAAATGTATAAAAGTTACAGTATTTGATGATCTTATGGAATAATAGGGGACTGTGAAGTCTAATGGGAATTAACATAAGCAGGGTGCAAAAGTCAGTTCTACAGCTTGTCATTTGGGCAAGCTGTATGAGCTAGCATGCATTAGCCCAAAGGTCTATCCCCAAATACTTTTTGAAACTGCAATGATTACACAGTTCTTAGACTGTCTTTTGAATCCCTAAAAAAAACTTCACTGTGCTGTACGTTGGGCAAGTTAAGAATGAAATTCACTAGCACAATAGCAAAATCCACCAGTCCAGAGCTATTGCACACTTTCTTCTTTTTGCAATAATATTATGCTTCCTAGTTGTACCGTAGCATGTTCATGGATAGCTTACATATACATCAGAACTTAGTCCCTTGACCCATACAACAAATACTTGTTTAGAGGTTTAAAGAAGATAACCAAACAAAGTTTTCACCATGGTGCACTAGCCATAACAATTTTTATGATTGTAATTTTTGCAGGTACAAAGCTTTAAAACTTGAAAAGGTTGGCACAACTTTTTCAACTTTTAATCAACTTCCATCCTTAATTGCCATTTGTAGCTACAAACAATAGACCTTTGTCATGCGGCAGCCATTTTGTCCCAAGAGATTAAAAAAGCTTTGTATTTGTACAGATAGCCTTGTTCTCACTGCGAGGTTAACCATGCAAAAACATAGCGTTTTAAATCTCCTGGGACAAAATGGCCGTCGCCTGACAAAGGTCTATAGGATATTGTTTCAATGCCTAACTAATATTAATAGCCGTGCATAACAGAACTGGAACATTATTTTTGGAATTCAACTGATGCAAAGTTAGAAAATAGTGTGACATAGCCTCTTTAATCTTTTTGTTGTGAGAATCTCACTAAGAACAGTCATACGGTACTATAATGAAAGTCTTTCGTAGAAAATTGCTCTCAAATTATTTGTAGTATAAATCTTACTGTTTTTAATTATGAGCAACAATACACAACAAAAGAAAAAGATACTTGTACTTAAACCACAGTAAGTTGTAAAAAGGACACTGTAAAACCTAAGAATGAAATATTACTTAAATATTATAAAAGTGACATTTCATATTTACAAAAGAAATGTAGATTTAAGCATGGAGTTATTAGTAGTATTATTATACATGTCGATCTTGATTTTACTAGGATCAGATCTAGAAAATGTACAAAATTTGGTTATAATTCATGCGATTTGGCCTGACAGATACAAAACCACACAAGCAGAGACAGTCTTTATTTTGAAATGAGATATCCTTCTTATTCAAAAAACATTCCAGGTTGACTCGGACATGAAGTAACTTGCCAGCGTAAATAAAATAATTTACCTGCACAGTCAAGTTAGATCATGTCAGCAATTATTCTTTAAATGAATATAATTCACATTTTGTCAAAGACACCAAATGCTGGGTATCCATGATGGGAAAGTTTACATCTTCAAAACAAACATCACTGACTCTTTAAATTCACTCTATGGGAAATATTTTCTGTGAATGTTTGTAAGTCAAAGTGGCACAGCCATGGTTCTTAGCTAACTTCACTGTAGCCAAATGACTGACACTTGTGCTTTATAACTTTTTGTCATCAACATTTCTCGTAATTAGACTAGGTGGAGAAATTGGTTTACTTTCTGTATATACATGTTCATCCTTCCACAAGATGCTTAAACTAATAACGGATGGAAAACATTTAGCCAAAGATTCGTTTAGTGCCAATGATGTGGATGCTTGTTCAAATGTTTGACATACCCTGTAGGAAGATAAATATATGTTTACTTGTATACAGTTCTCGGTTAATGCTCAAAGCATTATTCACTGTTTAAGATGCAATGACTTAATACAATAAAGTCCACAAAAACTAACAACATAATAAAAACAAAAGAAGGTTATGCATGAATGTCCAGGTGAACATTATGTCCTGAATAGGACTGTTATTGTTGACAGTCACTGGTATTTCAACAATCTGTAGTATTCATCTTCAGAGTCACTCTGAAGATGAATACTGCATAGGATGTTGAAACGTCAGTCACTGTCAACATTCAGGACTACGTTCACCCAGACAAACATACTCAGCCTACTTATGAAATGACTCCTGGGTTCAAACCTTTCACAAAATAAGAGCAATAAGTAGACAATAGACCTCTTTCACAATGGTGGCCTATTAATGTATTCTTTTTATATCAGTATGATGATAACCTTTTCTAGCATGTGAAAAATACAAGCGAATTCTTACTTTCAAACTAGGTCAGACAGGCTGAGTTTATCATACATACAAAAAAAAACATTAATAACACACCATTGTGAAAGAGCTAAGCTGGTCCATACATACTAATCAGACAAGTCAGAGATGCATGCACTCTCAGATGCAGACGCACAAATTGTACACACGCATTTTTTGGACAGTTGTTTTGATCTGCACTGTGCATACATGTCTAGGTATCTAGTGCAACTGTGAAATCTGCATGAAGGCAATCTGTGGGCCAAGAGCATTATCCTTTTGATAAATCTGATTGAAAAAATGTTGTTGCTAAAAAGTGTAAACCATGAACGATGAGGGCTCAAGGATTTATGGGTATACACTCATTAGCAAAGCAAATTCAAAGTTCTTTTGACAAAAGTTTACATTGTCACGAGATGCTTGTGCGGATGCAAATCCCTAGTCTAGAGTACTTTCTGTAAGGCATGCCGTTGTCTTTTTTTTGTCTTCCAAGAAAGCATTAGGTCCTATCTTATGATTTTTAAGTGTGAATTTGCCAAATGGCTATGCTCTTTAACTGTAGACATCTGTTATGTGTCCAGGACAGGTGAAGAGGTGAGCTTATGGCCATGAAATCTGGAAACTGTTTGACGTTTTTTGGACGCATCCAGGGCTCGAGGTTAAAATTTTAGTGCACTTGCAAAGTTTTGCTAGTAAGATTTTTTTCCACTAGCAAACTGGTGAGACCACTAGCAAATTCTCTCCCTTTGTTTGGTAGACATGGATGATTCTAACTCGCAAACGTTTGCTAGTGGGTATTTTCCTCACTCGCAGATTATCAAAATCACCCACATTTTGCGAGTTTGCGAGCATTAATTTTGAGCCCTGTGCATCGTTGTCAAAAGCTTGGATAAAGTAAACATTCCTGAAAAGAACTTGCAATGCTAATAAAGTTCTACCCATAAATCCATTAGGTCCCATTGTTCATGGTTTATACTTTTCAAGCGACAACATTTTTTTTCAATCAGGTGTATACCAGAGCTGTCAACCCCCCACATCTTAAAATATTGAGAATTGATGGGAAAGGGGATGATAAAATGATGTCATAATGACCACGGCACATGACATCATTTGTGAAAAAAACTGCACAAAAAAGATGTTGTTGGAATTGTAACATTTGACCTAATTGGCTTACTTTCCACCAACCACATTATTGCTTATATTATTTACAATGGCATACCGGAGTTTGTGAGGAAATGTTTGATGTTAACAGTAAAATAGCTCAAACAACGCAAGGTATTTGAAAAAATTCCACTGTCAGAAAGTTGATTCTACAAGAAATGGCAAACCACAGCGATTGTCCACGAGATTTCAGATTCTAACCTGGAGACTGGGTGAATTATGGTTCAAAATCTGGAGTCTCCCAGATTATGCAGGAGAGTTGAAAGCCCTGTGTATACAGTCAAACCCCGTTTTTTGGACACCTCATTATTACAGATAGTTTGCTTTGTCCCTGGGGAAAGAAAGTCCTTAAGTTACCCTTAAGTTACACTTTCTCTAAATTCGACCCAGTTAATATGGACACCCCTCAGTGCATGGGTTAACAGAGAAAATGTTTACAAATGACAGAGTAGTGTGTACAACTGACAGAGTAATGGATACAACTGATAGACTAGTGCATACAACCAACATTAATGTTAAACCGACAGTCTCTCTCTGGAGCACTAAATATCAAGAGGAGACATATGAAAAAGCAACAACAAATGATGCCAAATAGGGGATGAGGGAAAGTTGATTCTACAAGAAATGGCAAACCACAGCGATTGTCCACGAGATTTCAGATTCTACCCTGGAGACTGGGTGAATTATGGTTCAAAATCTGGAGTCTCCCAGATTATGCAGGAGAGTTGAAAGCCCTGTGTATACAGTCAAACCCCGTTTTTTGGACACCTCATTATTACAGATAGTTTGCTTTGTCCCTGGGGAAAGAAAGTCCTTAAGTTACCCTTAAGTTACACTTTCTCTAAATTCGACCCAGTTAATATGGACACCCCTCAGTGCATGGGTTAACAGAGAAAATGTTTACAAATGACAGAGTAGTGTGTACAACTGACAGAGTAATGGATACAACTGATAGACTAGTGCAGACAACCAACATTAATGTTAAACTGACAGTCTCTCTCTGGAGCACTAAATATCAAGAGGAGACATATGAAAAAGCAACAACAAATGATGCCAAATAAGGGATGAGAGATAAATGACAAGAAGACATTGATATGATACATTACTGACTAAAATAATTTTAAAACAAACAGCGTGCCATAGTTTGGTTTCATGCCCATAGTTTCATTTGATCTAGGCCTTTTCTATTTTACTATGTTTTCCATTTTGAGTACATCGAAATCTAACAATACACAAACTCTCCCAACTGTTTCTCCAAACGTCCTCATACCCTGAAAATTTAGAGGACATTCCAAGCTTAATAATGGCAAATCCGCAAATCCGAAGTTCATCAATTTTGTCTTTCAAAACAATTCTAAGCCCCTACAACGCGATCGGTAAAAGGATTTAAGCTTATTTCACAGCAATTAAGCTTTGGATTTTAGAAGACATCACCTCACTCAAATGATTTGAGTGAGGTGATGTCTCCTCAAACGCTGTGGCTATATGGCCGGTAACCGGTCAAGGTTTTCAAAACACTAAATGGCCGGCAGTCCTATATTATCAGTAAATTTCACAAAATCGAAAGATTCTAGCTAATCTAAACTATCAGATGTCGATTTAGAAAAGTCAAGCGATCCTGAAATGCTTTACAGATCTCAAGTCTAGTGTTTGGTTTGCGCTGGGCTCAGAGGAGGAAATCATGTTTTATGAGACTTGAGCTGCCGGTCAAGGTTTTCAAAACACTAAATGGCCGGCAGTCCTATATTATCAGTAAATTTCACAAAACCGAAAGATTCTAGCTAATCTATAAAACTGTCATATGTCGATTTAGAAAAGTCAAGCGATGCATTTCAGCTCCAGAAGGGAACTAACGCGTAGAGACTTTGATCAGGATCACGACTTATGATAGTTCAGAACGGCTGAATTTTTTCGATTTGTGAAATTTACTGAGAATATGGGACTGCCGGCCATTTAGTGTTTTGAAAACCTTGACCGGCAGTCGAGCTGAAAAAGTTCTAAGTGTCACAAAACACGGTTTCGTCTTCTGAGCCCAGCGTAAACCAAACACTAGACTTGAGATCTATGAAGCATTTCAGGATCGCTTGACCTGTCTTAATCGACATATGATAGTAACGATTAGATAGAATCTTTCGATTTTGTGAAATTTACTGATAATATAGGACTGCCGGCCATTTAGTGTTTTGAAAACCTTGACCGGCAGTCGAGCTGAAAAAATTTCTAAGTGTCACAAAACATGATTTCCTCCTCTGAGCCCAGCGCAAACCAAACACTAGACTTGAGATCTGTAAAGCATTTCAGGATCGCTTGACTTTTCTAAATCGACATATGATAGTTTAGATTAGCTGGAACCTTTCGATTTTGTGAAATTTACTGATAATATAGGACTGCCGGCCATTTAGTGTTTTGAAAACCTTGACCGGTTACCGGGCATATAGCCACAGCGCTCCTCAAATCCATCATGAGTTTCATGACAAATGAAGTTAAAAACGGAATTTCATTAATTACAATACCTGTTCCTATAGTTTGTGTTTTCAAGGGATGCGTTATAAGCAGCTGTTGATATTTCGCCCAAGTTCTTCTTACAATACTCATTACGGCTTGCCCTATATCTACTTTTTTTTTGTGCGCTATGATCCACTGAAGATCGCTGCCGCCGCCATGTTTTTTTATTTCAGCAACCGAGCGGCCCTGGGAAGAAATTTGCATTTTTTTGGCGGGCGGATGGGGAGCGGGTGGGGGGGGGGGGGGGTTATCACTTGACTTTTAGGAGAACAGAAGGGGTCATCACTCGTAATTGGGAACCCCTCAAAAAGAAATCATTGAAGAAGAATCAGGGGAATTGAATTCAGAAGGACGACTCAAATCTGTTGGACAAGGCCAGTTTCAGAGCATATAAAATAAATGCGTCCATTCTATTGGGAGGTAAAAGTGTTTGCAGTCTCAATTTGTTGTAACCGCAACTTTATTTAGAAAGCGCAAGTCTGTTACTCTCAAAAGAGTACAGTATGTTACCCAGTATCCGGACACTTCAGTTTAACATTGCCATAACTTTCCTTAGTTAGTCGTAAGAGCTCTAAAATTTGGCCAAGAGAAAATCTATTTAGTCCTCAATATGACGAAAGACAGTTTAACTTTTTTGCCTTTGTTTCCATCGCGAAGTTAATATTTTTCCAGAGCTCCTATGTTGCCCATTATCCGGACACAACAATAACAACGTAACTGCACATGAATTTCGATAGGCAAGCGACTCATAAGCTTCTCTTGCACTTGCAACGTAGTCTGGCAATCGCTTCCAAAAAGATAACCTTGTATCATGAAATAAAACTTAACAAATGACTGGGGTATGGTGGCGAACACGAGGGGCTGTTAGATGACCTTAAATGGTATAATTCTTACTTCCTTGTCTAGGATTAAAAAAGGAACTTTTTCACTTATTTAAGGAAGGCATCCGTGGACATGCCGAAGCCGCGGTTTGCATGCTCAATTAGCCAATCTGCAAACGAGTTTTTTTCTTCATTTTTTGTTCAAAAAAAAAGCTTGGGGAAGGGACCTCAATCCGACGGTCAAAGGTCACTCTCCTACTTAGTCGACTGACCTGCAGTGTTGATTTCTTCATGCTCAGTCGATCCCACAATAAGCCTGCTTTTCTAGCACTAATTCCTCCTTCTTTCACATCTCTCAATCCCACTGTGACATTTTTCAGACCGTTGCAACCCCATTCTAGCAGTCACAGCTGGGGAAAGTATGAGAATTCTAGGTTCAAATCGGTTCAAAGTGCAGTCACGCGAAACAAGCCGTGCACATGAAATTTAGTCACCTCTGAATTAGTGTAGAAAATTTCCATACGGCCTACTCTGGGACCTTAAGTCTCCTAAAGTCGCCAGCTCCTGCCTCGGTACAGACGCGATAAAGTAGGTCATTATTACACTAATTTTTGCATAATTAATTAGGTAAAAACCGCTATTTTCGTTTTTCCTCATTTTCTCGAGAACTATAGATTCTTGAAAGTTGAAAATATTTTTTTCGAATATAGTTCCCGCAAAGGGGTTTTTCTGACAAATTATCAGAATTTTCGATTTTTTTAGCCTGGCCAGCGATTCTCGATATTTACACCGTCACAGTCTCTTAACAACAAAAAATTAAAATAATGAACATAAGTGCCGTTTTGTGGTAAACTATGTCAGTGTGGCAAACTCTCGTGGTCACATTCCTGAGGTAGGCCAAGTCAAGTAAAATGCATGATGGTGTTCTTTATCAACCAAAAAGGAGAAATTTTCGTTCGTGGACTGAGTCAATCAATGAAAGTTGTTTCGGTTACATTCTTTCAGCGATGTGAGGATCGATATGTAACGGGGGGCATTATCGCGAGTGTCGAAGGCACGAGCCTTGTAAGGGGGTCTAAGGGTATACTCCCCCAGAAAATTTTTTAAATCTGGGGGCTCCAAAACGCTATTTTCAGCACTTGTCATAAGATATGTCTCCGAAAAATCGACCTCGTACAAGCGTGAAAATTCAGGTGTTTTCAGTGCTTACAACTGATTATATCCGAGGTCCTGTTAATTTGAAACACCGTATATCCAAGCACTAGTACACTAAACATTTCACAATACTTCGTGATGTTTGGCTAACTAACTATAAAAGATGTCTCAAGTTTGATTTTCATTCTAAATATCCTTTGGCGTTGGCATGTAGTTGGTTCCACGATGAAAAAATATCATTGTGAGGCCGCCATAAAGGCGTTCTTCTGTTATTGAACAACCTGCTGCCCATAGCTTCAGTTATAAGAAAACGCTTTTGTGTAAGATTCACCGCAGGACATTTGAAATTTGGCGGGCAATTGAAGCGAATTTTCATGCATCGTACATTCCCCTAATTCTGTGTGGTTAAGCCACGGGCGATCCTCCCATATAAAAGGCGCGTATTTCCATCTCTTCCTATGCTGCTATTTATCCACAACCAAAGTAAGCAACAGAAGTAATTAAGTTCGACGCGGCTGTAGTGTCAGGAACAGCGTATATTGATCATATCCCATATTAAATTTTACATTTTTCCCAACATCCTTTCTCGCGAAATACATGTATAACATCCACACATTTCTTGACCAGAAAAGCTCTTCCTGAATGAAGATGCATTAATTCAAGCAAATTGTTAATATTTTCTCCTAGCAATAAAAAGATGGTCTTGTTTAAATACTTCCAGTTTGATTGACTTTAAAGTTTACCTCAACACAATGTATAAAATTATGTTTTTGAAGGATGCAGTTAGAAGGACTTACAAGGAATTAAAGTAACAGAAAGATTTCAATGGCTTTAAAACAGATGCCAGGTTAGCAAAACGTGCTTCATAATTTTATTTACGTGGCTATTTTTCATAATGATCACCCTACAAGTGTGGAGTTTGGTACTGACCTATATAACAGGTTCATTCAATGAAAATATAAGCAACCCTCCTTAACACAAGAAGAGTCACATCATTTTTATCGGTAAATCATGTCCTTACACTTCAATTCGTAGGATAACGGCTTTATTCAATGACAAAAGCAACCTTCATTGACACAAGTAAGACGCCGATCTTTGAGTGGGAAGTCGCAATTCTATTCATCCATCTTTGAGTGGACAAAGTAGTGCTTGTGTCAATGATATTTCAAATGTCACCAGACTTTGATTTGTCGTTAAGCTTCGAACACTTGGATAAGAGCTTTATTCGATTGCAAAGCAACCTTCATTGGCACAAGTAAGACACCCATCTTTGAGTGGGAAGTCGCAATTCTATTTACCTTTCTTTGAGTGGACAAAGTTACACTTCAGTTTGTTATTGGGCTTCAAACACTTGGATGAGAGCTTTATTTGATGACAAAAGCAACCTTCATATATTTTAAAAATATATTTTTCTTTGTCATGTACTACCAGAAAACTGCCACATTAGGCTCACTAAGTTTTTTCAGAACCAGGCTGTTACAATATACACGTACATATTACAGGGGCACCCAACGATAATATAGCTCAAAACCACTTAAACATAGCATTAATGAACGTATTTTAGTATTTAAACGGTAGGTATGGGCATATTTTCATCTCCTAAAAATTTTTCATCTGTTCGGATTTCCTAGCTGAAAGTCTAATGATCCGAAAATTATAGGGATCAATACTTACCTTTTCGAAAATTTCAGCCAGAAAAAAGGCTCCCGAAAATTCTAGGTGACCTTTTTAGGGTAAAAGTCCATTAAAAATGGGCGATTACAGGAGCCTATCAAATGGAGTCTCCATCTCCCATACAAGCCCTTGGAGTAAACCCTTTCCCGAGTAGATTTATAATTAGAACGGGTCCCAGGGGAGACTTCGCGCGCCGACGGTGGGAAGAGCCAATCACAACGACGAAATGACACTGCTATTGTACTTCATCAAACAGCAGAAAATTCGGTGTTGACAGGCCAAACACAATCATAAGCTAGTGAACCGTGACTTTAGCGTTTTCATTTCTCAAAGATTTTCTTTTTTTGTTTTCTAGCGGGTAGATTATACTGTGGAGAGTTTTAAACTCTGACTGTGTTAATCTTAATTTTGGTTGCTTGTCTGAGGCCATGAAGATGGTCTGTTACATGCATAATGATTACCTACTACCTGCGGCTGTAGTTCTGACAGGATTCTTTTTTTTTAGCCAATTTTTTTGAGCGTTAAGGTTCTTATTTCCGCTAAATGACTCAATATTAATCAAATTTCTAGTTTTCAAGTTTTCTTTTCCGAAATGCATTTATCTGAATAAATACTTGTAGTTCTTGTGGTTGTTTTGTCCGTCAGCTAGTGCCGGTGATGATTCCCTGCTATGTTGTAACGCCGGGCCCAGCCATTGTTTTCTCGCACAAAAGTGATCTACAGATGCGAATTCGAAGGAAGGAATTGAGCCTAAACTTCTACATTAACTGCTGAGAATTGTCCTGTTAGTCAGTCATAATTCTTTTGGCACAGATACAAGCCATTTTGTTTTTCTTGAGATAAGTGGGTCTTTGGACTGGAGCGCGATGTCACAAATTCCTCTGTTAGCAAATTACGTTTGAGTTAGCTTCACGGTCGAGCAACTGTTGTCTTCTGGTCAACTTTTCAAGTGCCAGTTTTATCAGGCAACTCTCATGGTGATACAAGTCAGTTGTAAAGGAAGACTGCAATTTCTCAAATTTCGGAACTGAAGCATTCCTCGTTAGTTGCTACTTAGGTCATCGCTTTTGCACGCGGTGCTTATCCACTCCACGGTGATGACAAACTTAAATCAAATGATCCCGGCACTTTTTCGGCGCTGATCATCGGAAAGTTCCAAATCCTCCACAGAACGCTTAATCGTCGAGTCTTTTCAAGGTCCAAGCTTAAATGTGGGATGTATGACGGCAAAAAAAAAAAAGAACACTCGCAAAGATAAACCCTTTCGCTGTCTTTGTCCCATCGCTTCATGCTCAGTCTCAGTCGAGTAATTCATTAACTTTTATTTCATGATACCCAGATCCCAGCGGCTGTGAAATTGTAAAAATGGACGTAAAGGAAAAAAGGAAAACGGTCGAAGGACGAGCTTCTGAGTTCGACTTCATCTAATTTTATTTTTATCACGG